TCCCTGTGCTTTGCTAAGCTTGTTCTAAGTAGGTGCTTTAGACCACTGAGCCATCTCACCAGCCCCTATAATGTGACTTTTAACTACAGTTTTTATTCACATACTATAGAAGTTAGTCCTGGCTGATGCAACTATAGAAATGGAGAGATTTATTGATGAGATATCAGGAATTTCACAGGATCCATGAAAGCTGAAGAACCAAAGCTCAGAAATGCTACTCTTGAAAAGTCGTCTGATGAAAAATCACTTTAAACACATTGGAAGTGGGAGACTGGAGAAGCAGCTCAGTGGCTTAAGCATCTGCCTGGCAAATGCAAGATCCTGGGTTCGATCCCCAGTACCAAAAAAAGAAAATAGGAGTAAAAACCACAATGGGCCACTGTACACTATGGCCACTAATGCCATTCTGTGAGGAACTAGTTTTATGCAATAATTTTGCAATCTGATTCATCAGTATTTTTTTTAATTTTTATTTGTTTGTGTGTGTGTGTGTGTGTGTGTGTGTGTGGCCAGTTCAGCCCACCGGGGGCAGGGCTGGCTGACATGTGGTGCTGGGGGATTGAACCGCAGTCCCTGTGCTTTGCTAAGCTTGTTCTAAGTAGGTGTTTTAGACCACTGAGCCATCTCACCAGTCCTCATCAGTATTTTATACTAGAACTTCAATATTGTTGTCCCTCCTGCTTCTTCTATTACCAGCTTTTATATCAAATCATGGGGTGGGTATATCTGCCTGGCCAAACCAAAAATGCATTCTCATGCCTTTGATAAAAAAAAAACCCAAAGGAGTCAATAGCTTGTCATATATACTCCAATTTGCAAAGATAAGTTTTAAGCATGACAATATTGTGACTCTCCACAATATAAAGGATAAAGAAAATATAATAGTAGTTATACATGACAAAATACTGTTCTGCCATAAAGAAAGATAAATTGGGGCCAGGAAGATAGCTCAGTAAAATAAGTGCTTGCCTGGCAAGCACAAAGGTCTGAGTTCAATCCCTGGTTCTGCCAAAAAAAAAAAAAAAAAAAAAAGAAAAAGAAAGAAAGATAAATTTTAGTCTTCTGTAAGAAAACAGGAGCATCTTGAAACTGTAACATAAAGTGTTATAAGTTGGTTAAGCCAATCTTATAATTTTTAATACATTTGTACATCTTGTGTTGTATCTGTTCCTCTAGTAAACAAACCCCCGG